AAAAAATAAAAAAATAAAAACAAATATAACTAGGTGTCCTATAATTTTTATTTGCTGAATCTGGCAACCCTAATTTGGACTATACTATTCCTACCCCTAAAGCTGATCATTAATATGGCTTATGCCGGGCAGCGCCTGTGGCTCAAGGAGTAGGGCGCCAGCCCCATATACCGGAGGTGGTGGGTTCAAACTTGGCCCCAGCCAAAAATTGCAAAAAAAAAAAATGGCTTATGCCACCTTTACACATCACTCAGGATGCATAAGTGGCCCTGATCAGCAGGGGGCTTTCTCGGAGCCCAAATCTTAGTCCCAAATGCTGGAGATGGAGAAGAATGGGGACACACAGATCCCCAAAAGCCTAGTGGGATGGGGTAAAAGGAACTCTGATTGACCTAGAGTGCCTATAATGTGTGCCACAGAGCTGGTCTCTTTACATAGACTCTTATAAAAGATCTATTTTTATCTTTCAAATGCTTGTGAATTACATCTGAGGGTACCCTTTTTATAGATGAGGAAATCTAAGGCCACATAGCAAAATACTTGCCTGAGGTCACTCTGCCTCCAGAGCCAGGGGCACATTCCAAGGTCCCCTGTTGTGGGGCAGAGTTGGGACTATGGAGAAAGAAAGGAGGCAAGTGACAGCTGATACTGTGCCCCTCTAGGTGTGGTGCCAGGTGGTTATTCTGTCAGTCCACATCACATCACTAATTCTCCCACCATCTATAGGTTTTAGCTGCTCCAGACTCTAAGACCTGTTCTTTTTCATTAATTCAATAAATATTCGCTGAGCCCCCACCATGTGCCAGGACCAGGGCTAGACCTTGGGAATGCAGCACTGACCAAGGCACAGACCTGCCCTATTCTCATGGGATTATAGTGGGAAAGACAGACAAGAAAACAAGACATTATCACCCTCATGACTACTTTACATGGTGTTATTGGAATGTGAAGATCCCAGTCACCAATTAAGCCTAGAAAGATGAGGGGGATCTCAGATAGAAGAAGGATACTTAATTCAAAATGAGTTTGTTTACAGCTCAGTGTCCGTAGCTCAGTGGTTAGGGCACCAGCCACATACACCGGGGCTGCCGGGTTTCAAGCGAACCCAGGCCTGCTAAACAGTGACAACTACAACAATAATAAAAGTAGCCAGGTGTTGTGGCAGGTGCCTATAGTCCCAGCTACTTGGGAGGCTGAAGCAAGAGACTCTCTTGAGCCCAAGAGTTTGAGGTTGCTGTGAGCTGTGATGCTACAGCACTCTACCGAGGGTAACACAGTGAGACTCTGTCTCAATAATAAAAATAATAATAAAATAAGTTTGTTCGTACCCTCTGTGGGACTTAGCTTCATCCCAGTTTCCACAGGCCCCGTCTGACCCTGTGATGGTTTCCCATCCCTCACCCGTGCCTAGTTGCCAAGGCTCCACCTGAGCCTTGCTTCACGGGCACTGCAATAGGGCTTACGTTTTTGGAGCTCCAGGATAGTATAGAGGATGACGATGCCGTCCAGAGCCTCCCGGCCAATCTCCTCATCAGGATCCCCGATGCGAAGGATGAGCCTCCCCAGCAGAAGCCCCAGTGCCGGGAACCCCGAGGACATCTGTTTGTGTCATAATCTTAGGGACTGAGTCTTACAGGTTCAGTAATGCTATACAGCGAGTGGTAAACAGAGAGCTGATGCTCTGGTAACAGAGACCTCTGAGGACAGCAAGGGCCGCCCAGGAATCCCTGGACAGACTCACAGCTCTTTCAGAGCTGGGAAGATTCTCCCTACGAGTGTCCACCCCGCCCAGGGGCCACTCACAAAGAAAGGCAGGGTCAGAAGCGTGTGGTTCAACACAGACACGTTGCTGTTCACAGCCCGTGCGCGCTCATGGGCCTTCCCAGAGTTCATCCAGGGCCCCAGGGGCTGTGGGGACAAGGGTAAGACTCAAACTCCAAGTTAGATGCCAGCTACTGCTGCCAGCCTCCGTCAATCAGCAGGAAACTTCCAGAAAGGGTGTAAAGATCATGCACCACAGCCCTCCTCTTCTTGGGGCTTAAGGGAGAACTGGAGTTCAGAAGCTGAGAACAGGACTGACAGACTAGAGGGAAGAAGGAAGCCAAGAAGGAGAGAGATGAAAGGCAAAGAGTCCTGAGGACAGAAGAGAAACACAGTGACAGGAACGCAGAGAACAAAGACACAGAGGCACCTATAACCCTGTAAGGCAGCTAAATGTAGGGAGGGATAGAGAGAGTGGAAGGCGGCAGGAGTCCGGGATGGGGAGACGGAACCCTGGCACATGATGACATCCTGAAATCAAATCAGTCCTGGGTCCAGCCTCCAGCGCTCCCGAGCTAATTTCTCTTCCCCTTCCACCCTTCCTCTCTCTCCCACCCCATACCCCACCTCCACACCTCCAAGATGCTCTTCAGCCCAGCAGGGGTGGGGTCCTCAATAAAGAGGGCCTTGAGCAGTGTCTGCAGGGCATCCAGGGTCTGATGGTAAAGTGTCTGTGGACAGAGGAGGAAAACGTCACTAGGGGACCTCTGGGGTAGACAGCAGCCCTAGTCAACCCTCATGTAGGTCGGGGGGGGTGAACCTGGACCCAAGAAAGCCCCTTGCTACTCTTACCTCTGAGACTAACTTGATGGTACTTCCATCAGCTACAGTTTTCTTTCTTTCTTTCTTTTGAGACAGAGTCTCACTACGTCACCCTGGGTAGAGTGCTGTGATGTCACAGCTCATAGCAACCTCAAACTCTTAAGCTTAAGCCAATCTCTTGCCTCAGCCTCCCAAGTAGCTGGGACTACAGGCACCCGCCACAAAGCGCAGCTATTTTTTGTTGCAGTTGTCACTGTTACCTAGCAGGCTCCAGGCCGGTTTTGAACCCGCCAGCCTCGATGTGCATGGCTGGCCCCATAACCACTGTGCTAGGGTCGCTGAGCCATCTACAGCTTTCATGTTAACAAATTGGTAAGTATTATCCCTAAGCTTCCTACCTTACATGGGGAGGAAGCAGAGACCCAGCATTTCTGAAGAATCTACCCCAAGCCAGATGAGCACGTGGTGATTTGCACAACTACGTGGCTTTGTCCTCAAATTATTTTTCTCATATTATAAATAAGGAAGTACTTGTCCAAGGTTACACAACAACAAAGGTTCGAACCATGACGAGCAAATGAGGGGATGAGACAGGAAAATGCTCTAGAACTAGCTCGGTGCCTGTAGCTCAGCCACATACACCTAAGGTGGCGGGTTTGAATCCAGCCCGGGCCGCCAAACAACAATGATGGCTCCAACCAAAAAATAGCCAGGCATTGTGGTGGGCACCTGTAGTCCCAGCTACTTGGGAGGCTGAGGCAGGAGAATCTCTTGAGCCCAGGAGTTGGAGGTTGCTGTGAGCTGTGATGCCACAGCACTCTACCCAGGGGGACAGCTTGAGCCTCTATCTCAAAAAAAAGAAAAGAAAAGAAAAGAAAATGCTCTAGAACTAAAAGAACTAGATAAACGTAAGGGTCGTGCTTACTTGTATTACCTCTGGGGAGGTGCTCTGATTCTTTTTTGAATAGCTACTCCTAGACCCAAATGGGTTTCCCAAGTTGTCCCTTAAGGGACCCATCTCTGCTCTTCTCCGGCTGCTCATCCCTCGACCATGTCACCCTCCTGGGAGTGTCTTCTGGCTTTAGGCATTATACATACTCAAGCCTGAGCAGTGGGGTTGAGCTTACTCTGGGAAGACCCTCTCTTCCTTGCCTCCCCTCCTCCTGCCAGCTGTCCAAGTCTGCTTCCCAGATTGTCATTGTCCAGGCTTCCTGGACACAGCTGGAGTCAGCAGTCCTAAGGGTTACACCACAACCACCTAGCAAGCCTCACTGGACACCTACCTCCTCCTTCCCTCCCAGCTGCGCTGACTACTGTGAAGTACTGGCCTCTGCTGGCCATGCCTGGTAGTACAGGAGGGCTGCCCGCTCTTTCTTCCAAGCAGGGATTCCCTTCCTTTCCTCTGGCTCTTCTCTCCAGGCATCACCTCTAGACCCAAAGCCCGCACGCCACCCATGTGGCATATTCTGGCCCCCCACCCACTCTCCACCCTTGCTTCCCAGGACCGTCGCCTTGTCATCTGGGCTCCAGTCACAATGCCTCCTTGTCATTCTTGCAGTCACCATGCTGTCTCTGTACACAGCCTCTGAACTATGGCTAGGCTGCTCTTCTGCCTGAAGTATTTTTCCCTCTGCCAACCCCTTCTGCGAATTAGCCCTTCTTTAACTTCTCAGCTCCAGAATCACAGCCCCTGACTCCCCCATCTAGACCATGTCCTCCTAGCCCAGGATCTTTATAACACAAGTACTCCTTGCTTGCAGCATTTGCCATTGGTGCAATTTTGCACTTGATCGTCTCCATCTCTGTTGGATGGATATCTATTTGTTGAATGAAAGAATAAATGAATGTGCTCCACTGTGAGCTGAAACCCCTCTGCCTAAACATTCCCACTGACCCTGGTTCTCCCCTCATTCTGCATTAAGGGTCACCTCTGCTCCTTCTCTCCGGAATACCTGCAGAGGTTTGGAGATGTCTGGATGAGCCCCCCAAGGCCCTGCTCCTCCAGGCCTCAGCTCCAGTTCCCTCCAGTCTGTCTTCATCATGGCTCAGGTGTTTGTTTGTTTGTTTGTTTGTTTGTTTGTTTTTGAGACAAAGTCTCACTTGTCGCCTTGGTAGAGTGCTGTGACATCACAGCTCACAGCAACCTCAAACTCTTAGGCTTAAGAGATTCTCTTGCCTCAGCCTACCAAGTAGCTGGGACTACAGGTACCTGCCACAATGCCTGGCTACTTTTTTGCGTGTGTTATTGTTGTTGTTGTCATTTTTGTTTGGCAGGCATGGGACAGGTTCAAACCCGCCAGCCCCACTGTATGTAGCAGGAGCCCTAGCCACTGAGCTACAGGTACCGATGGCTCAAGTTCTGACAACGAGCCGCCACCTCTGGCCATGCCAACATCTGGCCATATCCCTGGCATAGGGCAGGGCCCAGAAGTGGACAGCACCTCAGATAGGAGCACCTTCATTCCAAAGATTCATTCATTTGCCAAATATGTATTGAGTGCCTACTCAGATGAACTGAGTTGCCCAAGGCCACGCAACTAATGAGCAGCAGGGTTAAGATCCAGATCTGTCGGCTCGGCGCCTGTGGCTCAACCGGCTAAGGCGCCAGCCACGTACACCTAAGGTGGCGGGTTCGAATCCAGCCCGGACCCGCCAAACAACAATGACAGCTGCAACCAAAAAATAGCCAGGCGTTGTGGTGGGCGCCTATGGTCCCAGCTACTTGGGAGGCGGAGGCAGGAAGCTCGCTTGAGCCCAGGAGTTGGAGGTTGCTGTGAGCTGTAATGCCACGGCACACTACCCAGGAGGACAGCTTGAGGCTCTGTCTCAAAAAAAAAAAAAAAAGATCCAGATCTGTCCCCAGAACACCAGCCCTTAGGACACACCCAGGGGGCCTTGCCTCACCTGGACGGCCTCCGCCTTGGCCTCATCTTTCTCCTGCATGGCCTGCACGGAGGGCAGGGAGAAGACACTCCGCACACACGTGCGCACCAGCTCCGACCTCTCCCGTGTGCCCAGCGTGGGCTGCGTTTGACTGAAAAAGAGGTGAGAGGCAGAGGCATGAGTGGGCTGGGGCCCGTGGCTAAGGATCCAGGGCTGGCAGGGAACACCTGGCTCGGGGCTCATTGGCTTGACATTCAGATCCTCAGAAGGATCAGATGAGGTGGGGGCTAGAAGGGGTGTGGAAGTCAGACGCCCCTAGGCAGAGATTGGGCAAGGGAAGGGAGAAGGCACGGGAGCAGGGTGTGGGTGCAGTTGGGAGGCCCCAAGATGGACAGGTGGAGGCGGAGGGTGGGGAGAGGGGTTGCACATGGGGAGACAGAAGGTTGTGGATACCTCAGCTGAGTCAGGGTCTCCATGGCCTGACGGCGGACAGAGCTTGAAAGGGAATCCAGTGGCTCTTCCTGGATCTGCCTCTAGACAAGGGACCACAGAGGGGCCAGTGAGAGGCAGAGCCACTGCTGACCACCAGGGCTCAGGCCACCCCTCCTCGTAGGGAGCAGGCCTGGCCCTAAGCAGAGCTCTGTCATTGGCCCCACACCCTGCCCGGCCTCCAGGGGCCCGAGAGCCTGCTCATTGCTGATGCTCATCCTGAACCCTCAGTTTAAGGCCACCCAAAACACCCCATATCCTAACCAGCTGCAACACACACTCAGAGATCAGCAACAATTGTCACCCACAGCAGCCTCATGGCAGGAGGTATATTTAACGAATGGAGCTGGCCCAAAGCAAAAGACACAGAGTGTGGACCTTGAAAGCTGCCTTGTTAAATTGCCTTAAAATGTCCTTCTAATTACTTCTTACTTTTTTTTTTTTTTTTTGGACCAGAGTCTTATTCTGTCACCCAGGCTAGAGTGCAAAAGCATTATTTTAGCTCACTGCAACCTCAAACTCCTGGGCTGAAGTGATCCTCCTGCCTCAGCCTCCCAAGTAGCTGGGATTAGAGGCATCCGCCACAGTGCCCGGCTGGTTGTTCTATCTTTAGTGGAGATGGGATCTCACTCTTGCTCAGGCTGGTCTCAAACTCCTGAACTCCTGAGCTCAAGCAATCCTCCCAGCTTGGTCTCCCAGAGTGCTGGGATTATAGGTGTGAGCTACTGTGCCTGGTCTACTTCTCACTTTTGATCTAGGGCCTACACACAGTAGATAAATCATTTTTTTTTTTGGTGTCTTTAAGGGGTACAAAGCCAAGTATAATTTTGGAAACTTCAGTGGTTATCCCTGCCCAACCCATGCGGGTGGATAACTGAGAAGTAACTGCATTCAGCAAAATCATGAGCAAACTCTCTACTGTTGCCCAGCAGGAATAATAAAAACTGCTGCTGGGTGCACACGGCTTTACTGTGGACTATTGAGTTAGGTCCCCCCAACAAGCCAAAGACAGGTATTACCATACCCATCTCTGAGATGAGAAGACTGAGGCTCACAAGGGAAGTAACTTGCCCGAGCTCCCTCAGGGTAGGCGCAGGGCAGTTAGAGGGGAGCTCAGACTCAAGTCCAGACACACCTCCTCTTTGTCCTTTCCTCTTCCCCCCTCATCTCCCCACTCCTCACCCCCCATCTCATCAGTGGGTGGCCTCAGGAATTCTGGTCCTTCCCACCCCAATGCGACAGACCCACATGTGGGTCCCGCACCATCATCATCTTCATCATGGTCTTCTTCTCTCCTTCCATTTCCATCTGATCCTCGTTCTTCTGGAGGTCCATGTCATTCTCAACCTTAGGGCAGCAACGCAGGGCAAAACCTCAGGGGCAGCGCCCCACAGAACCCGGCCCTCAGGGCTGCCCAGCCCCAGCAGGCAGGCCAGCACCTGCCCGGGAGAGATGAAACGCTCCCACCAGGGGAATCCAGGAGAGGGTAAAGATTGGCGATTGACAAGCCTGAAGGCTAGCATCTGGAGGAGGACAGGGTATAAGGGACGGCTTATCCAGGCAGCTCGGGGGGCACAGAAAGGGCCTCAACCTGAGATCCCAACGCTGAGGGGGCCCCTCTAATATGTACGAGTAGGATGAGGCTTCCTGCTACCTCAGAGAAGGAACACATTTACCAATATCACGTGTATCTCTCAGTTCCCATTATCTTGGGCAGAAGAAGGCAGACAAATATAACTACAGAACGAGTAAATTAATTTCCCATAGTGAAGAAGGAGGAGCAAGTTAATCTGATGGAGAGGACGGTGGAGTGGAGTGGTCACAGTTCTTTTCCACTCCTCCTGTTAGAGGAATGGATTCTCCCTGAATCTTGACTCTTCTCACAACTTGCTTTGACAAATAGAATGCTCTGTCAGTTCCTGGCTTAGCCTTAAGGGAACTGGCAGCTTTAGTCTTCCCCTCTGGAACCCAGCCGCTATGCTAGCCTATGGAATGACGAGAGGCCACATGGAGGGATGTCTTGGAAGATAAAGC